GGGGGGGGTAGTCATCCTCCTTTAGTACTGAACTCTTTACTCTCTCTCGTTCAACTAAAATGTTGAATCTTAGATCCAAAAGGTTTCTCTGGATGATCTAGCTCAGATTCAGCTCAAATTCCACCATTCAACCTTTCAGATTGAACCAAGTCTAATCCTTATATTTGAGGCCCTGTCAAAACTGAACTATTCTACCTACGCCCGGTTAACTCATGCCCAAAATGGACTTGGCTTAGCTAGGATCGTATGCAATGCTTCTCACATACAGTTCTTTCAACAGCATTGTAGATGAACTTATATACCTGGAAATATTGGTTATGCTCATGCACAGCATTGGTCTTTTCAAGAACAACCACTGGTCTACCAATCATATCCAAATGGGAAAATTTCGTCTGCAAATAAAACATAAGAAGTAATAGAAAGTTAGAGGAATAAAGGTTATCATACAAGAAGAACTTCAGAGGAGACAAACTAAGATTTACTCATACCTCTCTCGACTCTTTGACAGGAAAAGGGACCGATACAGAAATATCCTTTGAACCTTCTGGCAGAACAACCTATTCTCCACAAAACAATTCCATCGTTATCTTGAAGAATTTTTCAAGAAAAAAAAAAGTAAAGGCCCATACAATCACACTATACCATAAGCCCTCTTTTGCATGAAATTTATCATAATCTTCGAAAGAAATCATATTTTAGATTCTTGTGATAACACTAAATTATATCATTAAAGATATGGAATTAAAGCCTATTCAGTTCTTATAGAAGTATTACCTTCACAACAAGGTTTTCAACTACCACCTCCTCAATTGGGCAACCAAAAGATATATTTAAGAAACGTTTCCCCTCTGCACGGAACAAATAGTCCTTAAGGGGCAGCCCATAGCCGATGGTAAAAGAAGTTTTCCAGCCACCAAACATTGGATACCTAGGTTCAATTTGTAGCAATGTCTGCGAACAGAGAGCATAGTGTTAAGCTAGACACAAGCCACATGAAAGCTTCAGAAAGTATGTCTTCTAACCTTTGATGAGTCACCCCATAAATTGGATGTTGATATATTGCCAATTTCATCTCTGTAATAAATGGAATGGGCTCTTGGAGGCAATTTGGCAACAAGATGTCCGAATGACGATGCACCTCTGAGATGTGGTCGGGCCTGGTACTCTAGCCTGTGATGTTAAAAGTGGGAGACTTCCTGGTCAAATATAGCCACAGCTTAATAATTCTTGAACTTAATCAGAAAATATTATAGTACCTTGAAAACTCCCCACTGCTTCTGGCACCAGCATTGACAAGGTTGTAATGCTCTGTGATCTGAACATTTCCCCAATGAGAGACTTCAATCTCTCGCACTAACTCCTGGGCAACTGCGAATGGCTTATTGCTCACGAAGTGTACTGCTATATGCGAGAATGAGAAAGGAGGAAGATTCTCATAAGGTCCATATTTAATTTCTGAACCAGAAAATTTGGTGTTCTCTAACTTAGTGTATGATTCGACTTTTGGTTCGGGTAATCTGACACTGAGAGATTGGACATTAACTGCATAAGGAGAAATATAGTAGGCACTCTCCTGGAACACAAGAAGCTGGATATCAGCTTGAGTAATTTTCTCAGGAAATGGCTGTAGTGCATGAGTAAATGCAGTCCTGACTTCCAAATTCAGGCTCTTCCCCTTTGCCAGCTCCTTCGGTAGGGAGACAGAGTACCAAGTCAATGATGGTGGCATGCCTTTAGGGTTAACAACTTTGATAGGTAGGCTACTGGAAGAAGTTTTAGTTTTCCCTTTCCCTTCACTGGTTGTTGCCACTAAAAATGCTAAATCTTTTGCCTGGTGATCTCCAAATGGTAACAAAACCTCTGAAATTGGATCATTACCGGTATTTTCTATCTGACCAAACAAATAAGAAATAATACAAGCATCACTAGTTAGATAGTAGCACTAAGTCATTAAATTTTGCAAATTCTCAAATACATTAACTGCTTCTCGATTAAAGTAAATAGACTATTAAATCCGTTATCTGTAGTTTGGAATATTCAACAAACTTATCCAGAATCTCAAAAAACGCAAGCAATTACCACTAACCTTCAAATTTGCAGTCACACGCACTACTTGAGAGGTTAGGTCAATCTGCAATACAAGATACATGACAGCCAGAAGTAAGCATGAATGAATGAATAATTGCAATTTAGAACCAATAGTCTAATTAACAGCTCAGTTTTTCTTTTTCAAACAACACCAAGATGTGAAATGACTTCTAATCCAAGTGGCAACCATGACAATCAAAAATATTATCAAACTGTGCTACTGCATCATTAAAATAATTACACAACAAAAGGGTGAAGACTATCATTACTCTACTATGACCTCACATTCTATGTCTCATTCAACTTGCTCTGAGCTTGAGAACAAACACAAAGAAAAGAAAAAGTAAAAGGGGATCCGCGACAAATTACACACTGTTAGAGCACTATAAGTTATAATAGTATGCAAAACAATTAAACACTTAAGTTTGCCAATCCCAAAAAAACGCTTTTTTTTAAAAGAAAACTGTCAGCTCCCTTTGTTGCCAATGCAAGGGAAAGCAAAAAATAGCACTTCTGTTGAGATTAATTGACTATATAATTCCTCTTACAACATTTGCCAGTTTTTTTTACCTCAAACAATTCCACGGATACCTGCCACCTTCCACCAGCAGCAGGTATCATCAAAGGTTTGCAAGCCAAAATATTTAGCAAATTCTCCCAAAATGTTATACTACCAACGACTAGATCTTATCATGCAATCCAATTAGCCTTAATATCATAGGGAAAATAGTAGCACATTTATACATTAACGAAGCAAAACCAAATTGAACACCAATCAGAGACGTACGTACCTTTCGATCAAGTTTGGAGATGACTAGATCGGAAAGTGCAGGGGACCATTGAGCAAGTAAAACGAAAAACGAAAACAACAAATAGAGACGAATCGCCATTTTCCGATTCTTCCTTTTAGGTTTATGCGTTATACTACTCCGGCTATCAGATCGGGGAAATATCAAATGGAGAAGGAGACCATCGTCGGAGTTGAACGCTACTGTCTACTGAGAAAGAAGTGAGACCGATCTGCCTAAAATATAAAGTCCTCCTACTAATACTTAACATTTCATTTTTACCCTTTACTTCCATTTCCTTACTTTTCATCCATTTAACTTTTTTTATCTTCAAGTTAAGAGTAAGATTTATGTATATTTTTTTTTAAATCAAGAAAATAAGAACAAGAACAACAAGTAATACTAATTGATTTAAATTGGGATAAATATGTGAGCATACTTTATGCAAATAGTTTATAAATTGATTTTAATTAATTTGATATTGAGACAAGATAAATGTATATTAACTCTATCAAAATGAGAAAAGAGAAGTAATATAACTACCCTGAAAAATTCTTCTTAATAGGCCAACTTTAAAAAATTCATTTATGAGTAAAACTTGTGATCAAAGTTAGAGAGAATAAGCATTTGTATTGTTCATAAAGTTGCTTGGTATAAAATGATATATATAAGACAACAAAAATTATGCATCAGCCTCAAATAAGTTGAGATCACCGATATGAATTATAGTTTCGTCCTCATATCATCATAATAAATAAAATAATATATGAAAAAAAAATTATTATTTCAGTTCTTCATCGGACACAACACAATTTGAGATAGTGTGATGTCTAATCTAAAATGTAGTAACAAGTAACATGGGAAGTTAAAGAAGTAAAAATTTACATACAAATGAAGAAGCATGAAAAAAGGGGAAGTCATCTACATAACAAAGATTGAACAGTTAACATGAAGGGGAAGCAAAACATCATGAGATATGTTCATGAGAGGAGCTGGCACTGTTGGTGAGGCCCCGTCTCTTTTAACCAATGAGTCGTGGTTCAAATCACGCGAAGGTTAAGTGGGAACTGCTATTGATTCCATAACAGTTGGCGTTTAGAGAGAACACAAAACTTTTACAACAATGAAGAAGAGGGGGGACAAAACATATGGTACAGTCCAGGCGCCTATTGCTTCCGTTCTGGTGACTTTACTTCCAATAGTTCAATATTCAGGTTGAATGTAGCCCCTGGCTGCACCATGTAAGTTGAATATTCGTTAAATCTTGAAACCAAAAAGAGTTAAAGATAATAGAAGCACACCAATAAAATTGAATAAGATATCTGTGCATCTTCACCCAAGAACTCCTAGCTGTATAAGGGCTGTTTAATCTGCAGACTGCAGATAGCTTTGTTTTTCACAATTTGGTGAGTGGAGCTGAAAACAACCACTCACACGTAATATGCATCGATAAGTTTTCTCTAACGGCTATTTATTATAATTGGTCATTTCAAGAACCTTGCATAACTAATTACTAAGCAAGCAAACAACAATGTTGTTAGGCCTTGGAATAGATACCAGGATCGCGAAGTTGTTTGAGCACAAGCTACTCTCAAGAGAAACTCACTTCTAATCAAATGTAATTTAACAGATACAGTGAATTCATTGACCTTGGTTGATTGACATTTCTTTGAAAAGAAGAAAACCACAATAATAACTTCATCAACTAAGATAACAAAGAATGAAACAAAGTGATGTTCATACCGGAATCTCATTCATTCCCCTTGAACCATATCCAGCTTCTGGAGGAACAATCACAGTCCTCTGAGCAAAAGATACCATAAGACAAGCAGCAAGTAATGAGGTAGCTGTCAGTTATGTTACACTTTGCTTAACCTTTTCAGAGATCAGAGTTTGCACATAGAAACTATTAGGAAAAAGAGGCGTGTTAGGCAGAAATGAAATGTCATCCCACCTTTCCTCCAACTTTCATCCCTTCAGTTATTGTATACATTGCTTTTGGAGGTTTTGGTGCTGCTTGAGCAGAAAATAAACCATTTGGATTGTCCACAAAATCACGTTTCCGCTCTTTCCCTGGAGGAGCTCCAACCTGGAACTCATAAGGCTACTTAAGAGTAGAAAGACATATGTATCAGTAATAAATGTAATCCAAGGGCAGCAATACATGTCTATTAGTAAGATGTCAATTTAATTATAGCATACTCATTTCTAATCAGAAGTCATCACAACAGACCTGTGAAATGATACGATTTCCAGCCAACAGTTTAGATTCTCGACTTGAAACTGCAGTAATATTACGATATACACAGTCAAAATGTACCTACAGGAGTCAGGAGAGAAGCCAGAAATAGGTCAGTCTGAACTGGAAATTGATGTGTATGCAAATTTCAAGGAGGACAACTAAACCTGTACAGTGGAGCCCTTCTCAGCTACAGGACCTTTTCCTTCAAGAATATCATAGTATTTCAATCCATCAGCTGCTTTAAAAGCAATCATTAATAAAGATAATAATCATGGACTCATATCCATGATATCGTCAGGCTCTTTCAATTGACAATCGGGTTATTACATATATCAACTACAACATTATTTCGATTTAATTTGATTATATTTCTAGTCCTTAAAGATTGTCAACAAATCTTTGGATGAGATATAAGAATTATGTTGATGCTAAATGGACCTTGGACCTACAATTCCAAAAGCTAGCCATGAGGTGAGGATTGATCAAAGATCATATAAGGAGACCATAGTTCCACATCCCACCCGATGTGGGAACTCAACACCCCTCACATGCCCAATACTGGCATCTAGAGCGTGGACATATAAAATGAAAGCCCAACTTCAGATAAACCATGAGCATTGGTGATAACATGATAAGAAATGGATCTTGGACCTAACTCAATCCCAAAAATCAGCTCATGAGTAAGGATTTTCCAACCTATACAAGGAGAGCAAAGCTCCGCATGCCACCCAATGTGGGAACTCAACAACATCAAACTCAAACTGTTGACAATTAATCTTAAGTACTTGCTGTTAAGTAAACAAATTATTTTTTCCAGCACTACTTAGAAGCTAATCGTACAAGCATAAGTTAGCACCAGTGACCATATTTTGTACTCCTTTGTTTTGACTTGGCACGGTTTAAGAAACTAAATAAGACTTTTGAATCTTATAGTCTTAAACTAAAGATACCAAGAATGTACCAAAATATACTTTAATCTTACGATCTTAAACATGTGTGAAAAGTTGAAACGTGAGAGGTACACAAAAAAGTAATTAAAGATGCATTCTTTTTGAAAAGAAAGACAAACAAATTGAAACATAGGGAGGGAGCATGACTAATGGTAAAAGTTGTAAATAACTTTTTAAGACTATCCATAGCAGAACTTGGAAATTGCACCCAATGTGAAGATATCTCTAAGATTTTAGAATAAAAAAAGCTAAAAGTAATAATGAATTGGGAAGAGGTACTAACAAGTAGTTTGATAGTCTTCAAGAGGGATGTTCTTCTTATTGCGCCTCTCTCTAGCCATGGATGGTTGAGGAACCAAATTGAGGCTCAGGGGCAACACAGAGATGAGAATAACAGATCTTCTTGAAATGGGTATCTGTAAAAAGACCTTCTTTACCTGCTGCTCAGTCTGGGCATTGGAGGAATTTCTGATGATGCATGATCCTTGAATCCTCAGTGTAGCTGCCATATCTTGAAGGATTTTCAACAAGTTTAGTACTGTAGTATACTATTCTGTCATTCTTGATTGGCTCTCTATCCAAACCGAGGCCGTTGAAGGAGTTAAGGGGCCAGACAGTCATTTTCTTTACAACAATATCCTCTTTCATTTTCTCTTTAGTTTGATAAAAGAATTTAACAAAGTAATTTTAGTTACTCTGATTTGATTTAACGACGTTTTGAATATAAAAAGGAAAGTAAGACAAATAACGGAATAGTAGTTTTAATTAGGACGAGTAATACTCTATATAAATTTGAGCTAAAATGCTAATTAAAAATATTTTTTTTAGAAGAAAAAAAAAACAGTCCACAAAGACAATTTTGAGCCACTTTGGTAACGTCGTGGATAAATATGGCACCATAAAGTCCAAAAAGGTTATTATATCTATCTATCATGCTACGTGGTTCAATTGGAGCTGTTAATCATACTCTCCATCTACCACTGATCATACACATTTCACTTCTTGCAATTTCATCTTATTGCTAATAAGCCTATCGACTAGCACAGTCGTGAAAGAAAGATTAAATCCGTGAGTCGAGGATTTATAGTAAATAGCCTCTCCAACTCTGAAGTAGGGGTAAGGTCTGCAATGTCACACTCGCCATAAAAAGAAAGATATCTTGATTGGCAATCATAACACTTGCACATTGTTGTGGTGCTTTGAAACACTGTACATTCTATACGCTCCAGACCACTCTTTTTGAGATTATACAGGTATGTTGTTGTGAAAGAAAGATGGAGAATGTACTCAGTTAAGAAAGTAAAAGCAAAAACTTGAGAAGATGAAAATGTACAACGAACTGTATATCTCAAGATAAAACAAGTGGAGCAAATACAATACTATCGTGAAGAAAATTGATTTTGCTGGGAATCACTAGGAACAAATACAGGGAGCTGACCACCCCTTTGTGTTCTACCCTGATAGTAACTCCGCTGTGGACCACCAGCAAATGGTGTACCGCTACTTCTTGCCCCTCTGTTCATGTTCTCGTTCAGTAAAGGCCCTCCGAAAAATATAGATTGACCGGTGTATGTAAGCTCTGTTCCAGAAACTTGTGAAGTAGAACCAGCACCCCTGTTAGTATTAGCAGTAACAAATCGCCCGGCTTCTTGATCCCAGAAAACTGATGACCTTGTACTCTCTGGAGTGCCCATATTGTTCTTCCTAGTGGATGCCTCTGAGAGATTATCAGGGGGCGGAGATTCGTTCTCATGGCATGCTTTTGCTGACCACGGAGATTGATTTGCAGATGACTGATATATTGGGTTAAAGTGGTCTCTATTTGAAGGGTGATGCTGCAGTGCTAATGGAGATGGAGCTCGGTTAGGGGCAAGAGGACTGCTTAAGTTACTCATGCTGTGGCCACATGTTTCAATGTCTTCTCTGCTGGCACGACTGGGCGGATATGAGCTCTTGGAAGGAGACAACCTTAATGTCCCAGCTCTAGCATTACTGTCATAAAATCCTTGATTAGTACTTGCCGGACTGCTTATACCACTCATGCCACTGGACAAATGATCAGCGTCGTACGGATTGTGCTTGGCACCAACTGGGCGTAGCACAGATGATGAAGCTCTAGCCTTGGCACCAGCTTTGATTGCTTCACTAGAATCTAGTTTCGCAAGCTTCCATGCACTAATTCGGACTGGACGGTGGGATGCCTTTTTGTCCTTGTCTAGTGCATCAGGATCAACAGTAGATGGCAGTCGCCCAGGCTGAAGATGAGGAATAATTTCGTCCTGCACAAGGTGGTTAGAGGAATGAAATTAGCAATACGCGGTTCTATAATTAGACAGTTTTTCTCGAGGACAAGGGATGAGCTTAGTTGCTCAAGTCAAAACTCATCCAGAACTCATTCTCCTCCCATTCCTATATCCTCCACCCACAGAAAAAGAGGGAGAACTTTCTTCATCAACTTCACAAAACTAGAAGCACGAAAGAAGTGTAACCTGATGATCCATGAAGATTCTTGGAGGAGTACACCAAGCACCTTTATGTTGCAAGCTCATCCCAACAGAACTTCTTCCACTGATGGCAGTCACTGCAGAGCTGGTCGGTGATGATGGCAAACTCTGCTGATCACCTCCATCTACAGAGGGTCCAGGCGGCTCACTTTGAGATCTCATTGCAACAACATACTCATATGTTGTAATACCCTGTAATACAGCATTATAGCAGAACCAGAATACCTTTTATATATAAGCACGCACAAACACAAATTTAAAACCGAGAAGGAATGAGGATATGAACGAACATACCTTACGAATGAGAATAATGTGGAAGAAGAACAATTCACCTAAAGGCACAGTTGCAAGGAGTGAAACAGCAGTACATAAGGCCTGAAACAGAGAAGAAAACAAAAGATTAAACCCAAAGAGAACAAGAAAAGGCACCTAAGAATGAAAGAGAACAAGGCAAAAAGGGCATTTCATTTGGTGAAGTGGTGGTCCACAACAACAAACAAAAAGGAAAGCTTTTAGGCATCAGAAATTTGACACATCATAACAACAGCTTGATGATGAAACGGCTCTGGAAATCCATTTCAGAAGAACAAGCTTTACGGAAAGATGTGATTTGTGAAAAGTATGGAAGCAAAGGATCATATTACTAAAAAAGTTACCATTTCCTAAGGGGTTAACTTATGAAGAACATAAGGAACCTGAGGCTGTTTAAAATTGGTGATGGTAGAAAATTTCCTTCTGGATTGGCCATGTTCCTCTCAAAGAACAGTTCCCAGATCTCTACATGCCTTAATACAAGAAGCAAGTTTAGATTTCAATTAGGAGGAATCTGAATGATTGGAAATTGGGCATATTTGCTGAATTTTTACTGATTCGGGACTATGATTTTCACTGTAAAATCATGATGTGATAATATGAACTCTAGGGTCATACAAAATGCTTTCTGGACTTGGAGACAGAGTTGGAAGACAAATGCTCCTTATAAGGTGATGTGTTTTCATGGTTGGTGGCTCAAAATACTTGCTTAACACATCAGAACGTACAAAGAAGAGGATTCCATTTATGTTCTGGATGTTTTCTGTGAGAAATATGCCAGAAAGAGTGAATCATTTGCCTCTGCATTGGTCCGTCACTGATCAATTATGGCAATTGCTTTTTAACATGGTGTACTAAAATGGTGCATCCTAGAGATACTGGAGAGCTGCTAAACAGCTGGTATATTAGGGGAGTTGCAAGAAACAGATGAAATTGTGGTGCACAATCCCTGTGCACATTTGGTGGACTGGTTAGAGGAAAGGTACGAGAGGTGCTTTGAAGATAAAGGAAACTCTATCTTAATGATCAAGATGAACTGTTTTATTTAGTTGATAGAATCCCTTTTAAGAATAGAAGGGACATAACTCTGTTACCTTTGTCAAAAAGAAAAGAATAGAAGGGACATAATTCTGCTTTTGACTGTAAATACTTTTACAGAATCTCTTTGCAATGCTTATAATACACTTACCATTTCACAGAAAAAGCAGAAAAAAAATGTTACAAGACTGCAACAATGGGAACAAGTTCCAAGCAAGCACTAAATGTCATATATATGGTGATTCTGGCACTATGATTTTGCACACCTTCAAATTTACGGGCTGTGTCAAGGCTTTGATACATTAAAGTTATTATATCTTTCCTTCAGAAAAATTCTTCAACCAGCCTAAGACTTATGAGTTTACCATAGTGGATTACGCATCTAAAGATTCTAATAACTAGATCAGTATAAGATACAACTCCCACAATAAATCAAGGTCTAACAAAGACAGATTAGAAAATGCAGTAAATCCATATACTACACAAACAATCAGAATAGTTCTGCAAGCAACAAGCTAGCTTACATACCACTACAATAGCAAATGGAGGTCTAGAGAATCCTTCTCCGAGCCTCTCTATTATCTGATTTTCAGTAGCTTTCTTATCGACAAAGCATCTAACTAGGACTGCAATGCCCACTCCGCATTCAAAGACAAGCTGACATGAAAGGAGCATTTTATATTAAAAAGGTGAAGAAATGATTATGCCTTGTCAAACATTAAAAAGGAGATAAAATGAAAGAATCTTAGTGCACTTACCCAGACAAAGCTGAAAGCCATCAGGCACACAAATGTGATATAGTTTTTCCTTCCCACGCAATTATTCAACCACTGTAAAAAGTACACATCCAAAATGACATAAATTCACAATACTGCAAGAGGAGGATATGAACTGGTGTACAATATTAACAGCATGGAATATAATATATATTATCCGAAAATACCCTTATTTTGAATTCCTCAAATGGGTTATCAGATTCAGCTCATTCCTCCAATTAAAATAATTATGTCATGTCAAAGTAAAACACAATGTATTTTGAGCAACCGAAAACTAAACAAGAAGAAAACACATATTTGAACTCACACGGCAGTGATGATCAAATCCATCAACACATTTGTCACAACTTCTACAGTGTTTGCTGAACTTTCGAACCTGCATAAGGGAAAAAATACCTTATTCATGCTCTCCACTATACCCAATGAAAGTCTGAACTTTTGAATGTAGTTGTAGGAGAAAGATATACTGTAGATGCAGGGAAAACTAGAGAGAGAAGCAGATGAGAAGTGGTATACCTCAGCATTACACAATGTGCAGAACAAAACTTCTTCATCACCACTCTGCTCCAGCGACTGATCATCCTTCCGACAGTCTTCAATGACAAAACAACAACAGAGGATCCCTCCAAGTCTTCCACAGCAACCTGAAGCATCACTTGTAGTTGTTCCTCCATCTCGGAACCCTTCCTTGCTGGGACCCCCTGCAGCAGATATATCACCTATCACAAGCAGTTCAAGATGTCAACAGCAGATGAATCGTGGTCAAATTACCAAATGGATACCAATGTTCCATCTTTCATCCACTCCCTCCCCAACAAGATACTGCGACAAAGTCTTATAACTAACACTTGATAGTCCTTTTCCCTTTTTTCATCTATTGTAAAACTTGAGTCTTTTTCAGTTCATGAGTACTAGTAAAACTTGATATTTCTCATAATTTTGCTCTGTTATATTTTCAAAAGTCTAGATGATCAAAGGGTTTACTAGTATCTTCAACTTATCTAATAGACACAATACTTGGTCTGTAATTACCAACCAAAAAATAATAGATATATCTTCAGGTTGTTCTGATCCCGTTGCATATTTACCTTTATCAAAGGAAGAAGAATAAGAAAATCATATTGCATCCAAAAACTAACCAGGCAACTCTATTTCATTGTGTGATTGATAGGCTGTTGACTTGTCAGCTTCAATGAGAATCCCAGGGTCAGCAGGATCAATTGCTGTGCATCTAACATATAGTGTGAACACACATAGAGCCTGAAAGCAAGAGTCAAAAGATGACAAGAAGTAACAAGAAAGAGAAACATGAATAGGGTGTTTGCAAGAAAAATAGTAAGCAACTTCATCCCTAATGCACTCACCAAGAAGGAATAAACACCAATTGCTATGTACTCAAAGATGTCTTTTCCTAGAAATGGAGCAAAAAATGCATAGAAGGCAACAGATAGCAGGCAGAAAACTGTTATAGCCACAACCTGCACAGCAACATGGAATAATGAGTACACGAGATTCAAGTTGCACAACAACAATAGATAATATCAGTTAATCATAAAGGCCGATACAATATGATGTCACTAATCAATAATAATAAGTAAGGCCTGGGCCTTCCAGAAGAACTTCAGGTGAAACTTATCATTCCGAGACTTGAGAAATGGAAAAATGAGTACAGAGGTAAGCAACATGCTGATCAACACACAAAAAAACCAATAAAGTATTTTATTTTGTCTGACGGACCGCAAGAAAGAATATCACGGGGACCAAGCTACAAGTACACATACAGAATAGTTGCATTAGACAATCCAGTGATTCAGAGCTTAAACCTCTTTAGACTAAGTTGTAAAGTTAGTCCAACAAGGAACTGTATGAAGCAGATATACATTATTGAATTAAGAGAGATGGAAAGCTTGATCTCAGTCACAGTCGCAGAAAATTTAATCCTGTTACAATGCAGGGTAATCACCATACAAAGAGCAGCAGGTGCACTAAGCATCCCGCATTCATGCAGGGCACGAGGAAGGGCAAAGGGGTGTGATGTAGGCATCCTACAGTGATGCAAGCATCAGTTAAGATCACCCGTGAACTATAGGTCATCCGGAGACTACTCCATAAACTTAGAAACTTATCAGAGCAAAAAATAATAATAAGGAAACCCATCAAATAAATTTTCTACCACAAACGGAAACTTGACCTCCTTTTCTCCAAATTCATCACAGACCCAAAACCAACTTTAAAAAATTCAAATAAAGCAACTGTAACTCAAGTTATTCCTACTCAGAACCTAAAGATCGCATCTTTTCAGAATGTGAAACACTAGAAATTTCAAAGCAAATGTAACTAAAATTTTGAGCAAATCACAAATCTACAAAGCATAACTAACTAAAACATCACTTAAAAAGGAAAAGTAAAAGAGTGTCAAAGTGCAGTTGACTAAAAGAAACAAATCAGCAATGTCACCAAACGAAACCAATAAACCCACTCTAAAGACCCCAAAAGATCCAACAACACCAACATTACAGCTTTACAAGTGATCCAAATACAACAAAGAGCAAAATGAAGAACCTGAAACGAGTGAGCCGGTAGTTGCCACCCATGACGCCGAGCCATAGAGAACCGAGTCCGACCCGTTTCAACTCAAACCATATACTAACAAATGCCAACAAACCAACTTCCACCAATGTGAATGAACTACTAGTATTGAAGTAAAAAATATTAAAAATTGCTCCTTTTTCTTCTGCAAATGAACTTATTTGAAGATTCTGATACGCAAAATGAGAATTAAACAACGACCCAGTTATTAAAATCAAGAAACAACAGGACCCATTTACTTAAATTTTTCAGTTTTAGGGTTTGGGGAAATTGAAAAGATGGAACTGGGAAGAAGTGGGTGAGCAAAATAAGGAACTGCAGAACATTATGCAGCAAAAGTGTAACTAAAGAAAGACGAAAAGTGTTTTTTTCTGTTATTATGGAAATTAAATTATCTTAAAAAAGAATTTTTTTTTGACTTTGACATACAGCCGGCTCTTTTTTTCTACGGTATCTTTTTTCACCCCTAAAAAAAAAGTTAAAAAATTATCAAGTTTGAATTTTGTAGATTTTAACTATAATATATAATCAAACAATATTTTGAAAAAAATAATTCTCCATATCTAGACGGCTTCAAATTTTTTCCTCTTTTTTCAATTTTTTGGTCCTATTATTTGAAAAGATGTAAACTTTTTTAACTTTTATTTCGTCTTTTTAGGGTGAGTTAGTTCTATAAATATTCGGAATATAATATTATTTTATGTAAGAAATTAAAAAGATGAAAATCAAAATTTATATAAAAGAATTTTTGTTTAGTTTTTTCACTGTATCCACTTTTCAATGTGGTTTTAACAGAATCCTCGAGCTACCAAAAGTGTAAGATTTTTTTCCTTTTTGTCTTTTTTAAAAAAATTTACTGCTTCCATATTTTTCTTTTTGTACTTTTATTCTCAAGAAGAACAATAACCTTTTACACAAAGGGTCAAAAACTCGAAGATGATATAGTATTCATCCATGAGATGCGGCCCAGTAAATTTAACCATAGGTTAAAAGTTAGAAAATATATTTTTAAATCTAAGGATTTTAGATTAAGTAGAACGAAAGTAGAGTACCTAAAGTGTAAGTTTAGTGACGTAACGCATAAAACGGATGTAAAAGTGAAGACTGATACATATGTCATATTCAAAAGAGCAAGTTTCAAGTATCTTGCGTATGTAATACAAGAAAATTGGGAGATTGATGATGATAATGTCACTCATCATATTGAAGCTGATTGAATAAAATAGATCCTCGCATTTGAAATGTTATGTATTATTAAGTACATGTAAAAAGCTTAAAACTCGTTATAAAAAATGAAAATGTTAATAAAAGAAGATAATGTAAAAATATAAGAGGAAAACCATCATTAGCATCTTTACTTGTTTGACTGCTAGAGTTCAACTACTAGTAAACAAAAAGTCTAATTATTTTTGATGATTTCTTAGGAGAGCAAAAAAGACACAAAATTATTAAAGCCAAGAAAATCCTATTATAAGATAAGATAAAGTTAAAAGCAATATACTAGTTAAATGATGAGTGAAAAGAATCAATGAAAACTATAATTGAAATGCATGTGGATGTTTAGGTAAGTGTAACAATAATCAAATAATTACTAATATAATAAACAGCTTTGACATTTGCTTAGAAAATAGTGAACTGTCCATCCAATTAAACTAAAGTTTATTTCTTTGTTTTTTTCATCATGGACTTGGATATTTGTCTCAACTATTAAGAACCAAACTGACAAGCTCTTACCTCATCACATCATTTTATAATAAAATTATAGTAATTATTATTCATTGATATATAGTATTAATAATTTTACACAATCAATTGCTCAATAATCAGTAATTGATAATTTGATATAGCAAAAAAATGAAAAGCACATAACAAAGGAAAAGGAAAAATGAAAAAGGTGGGGTTTTACCTTTTTGTTTATAATTCTATAAAGAACTAAGAAGTGGAATATCTACTTTGATTAATCTATGGCATATTTTCAAAGTAATCAACTTTGGATATTGATAAATATTGTCTAAAGAATGCTGTCTATTTTCCATACCACTACAAAATAGATAATTAAAATATATTTGATTTTACTTTAAATTTAATATATTTGGTGAACACTCTATATCGCGATGAAGTTATCCTCGTTTGATTGATATATATAACAGATGTTGAATAAAAAATAATCCTTATACTCCACAAAAATAGAGGTAAAATTTGTGTGCGTCTTATTCTCTTCATATATGATATATCACTTACGAAACTACATTATGTTAGATACTATTGTTGTTGTTGTGCGATATATGGAACAATAATTTTAATTATTCCATGCATTCTACTTCATCTAAGTCTATTCAAGACAAATAGTAATGATCAAGAAATGGCTATTTATAGACATGATTCTTCACTAATACTAAAAGTAAATAACTTGATGTGTGGTATATATGTGAATTAATATCAAACTATGCAACCAACTAACTTGAAGTTTCAATCAAGTTGACAACTAACATATTTCATATTGTAGAAATTTTGTCACCAAACAGCTTGCTAAAGTTTAATTTTTAAAAAATTATTACATTTTTGGCAGCTAACATTTGTATAATTTAAGCAAACTTGTGTTACCGTGAGAGCTTGTCTAATAACTTGTCGTTAGGGACGATTATGTAGCACAAAAGTTATGGATTCACGTGAAGTAGCATAAAACTATTCAATTTTTCCATTACTTTTCAAACGAGGCTAAATTTTTAAATACCATCTCAAATTGCCATTTCACTAAACATTCAAAGCCCTTTTAGATTGATTGGACTTGGGTCATGGAAAATAATGGGCTTAGGTTGTTTGCAATCTGCTACTTAAGATTTTGTCCAAGCCTAGTTGAATAGAATTACTTGGTAGCTATCTCGGTGGATGATAACAAATATTTTATAAAATTAGTTGAGCTACGCAAAAACTTATCTAAGCACCATAATTAAAATAGTTACTTGAAATGCAAAGCTTTTGATGTTCGGCAGTTAAATCATATTTAGAATTTAATTTTATATTCATTCACTATAAAGGTGAATTTTGGGGGAACTGACATATAATCTAGAGTACTGTAGTTTAGACAAATTACATCATACATGCAAAAATGTACTAGTATATAGTTTGTACTATTCTTGAATTTGTTTTTTTTAATTTGGTCCGATCTTTTTGGTCCCTTGGTGATTCGAACTCACAATTTTTGGATCGAAAGTGAGAGCTGCTTACCATTCGAGCGAACTCCCTTTGGTCTAGACTCCTGAATATATATGTTTGATTAATTAAATTATTTTTTAACAATAATAAGTATTGGTTTTTACGAAATGTCCCCAATGTCGCATTGATATTATCGAATGGAAAAATATAAAACGATTATAACTCATTAATCAGTTCTCTGTTGTTTCAGTAATAATCTTCTCCACAATCCAAATTTTCTTCACTGCAAAAATGACTGCTCTTTCAAATTCATTGATTTTATCCAAACCCAGAAGCCCTTCTCTCCATTTCTCCTCTGGTAATTTCTTCAATCTGCTTTTATTTTCTCATCAAATTGTTCTTTTTTGTTTTCATTTGTTGATCTGATTGTATTGTTTGTTTATTTTTGTACTGATTTACATTGCTATCTGAGCTTGTACGAGTTATTGACGAATTGTTGAATGGCTGTGTTTTTGTTTTTGTTTTTCATTTCTCGATCTCGTTGGTCTGGCCTTTTTTTTGCTGATTTTATGTTGCCGAGTGAGCTTATGATTTGCGTCTGTCGAGCTCCGTACTATACCCAAATCGGAGATGAATGTGTTTATTCTTTGTTGATCTGGTTGTATTAATTAGTTTTGATGCACTCCTTCACTGATTTCCTTGATATCTTAGCTTCTAATACTAGTCTCTTGAGCTCCTTATTGTACCCAAATTGACAAGACTGTTAGTTTTGGATATTGTTAGAGTTCTACATTGGTTGTTGAATGGACTAGTGGGCAGTCCTCCCCTCCCGAGCTAGATTTTAGGGTTGAATTAGCCTAAGGTGTTATATCTTTATGTGGTATCTGTGTAAGGTCCATCCATGTTTGGGTTCTCAGTCCATGCTTCAGTTAGGCTGGGTGTGAGGGGTGTTAGAACACCAGATGTTTGCTAGTAACATGTGTGTGCTAGTAGTAAGCCGGTGTTAACGCTGTAGCATGAACTTGTCAAATGTTTTTCTGTTAGGATCCAGCGACCCATTTACTAAGATTATGAGCTCTTGCATCTGAATAATGTGCCTTTTGGTTACAACTACCATATCAATTTGTCCTTCTATAAGTTTGATAGGGAGATGCCTAACTTCTTATACTTTCCCCTAGTTCACATATTCATGCATGGAATAAGAAAGTGACTGTTTTGAGCAATTGGGTTATATTCTGCTTGGTGATGTCATAATTTCCCCCTTTTTTTATTTGCCACACATTTCTTATTCAATTTTGTATATTTACTACCTGGTTGTTCAAGTGATAATTGTTGTTGTTTGTGATAATTTTTATTACTGTTAAAGATTAAATAAGCTTTTGATTTGATTCTGAACAGCATGGAAATTATACTTTATACAAATATAAAAATGCCAGGTAGCTAATTCAATGCTATAGTTTATTCATAATCTAATAGATGTGAGGAATTATTGGAATTTTCTGCCAGGCGTTCACTTCACTATATCGAAAACAGGGTCATGTTAAGGTCAAAGTTCAGCTGGTATAATTCATGCTTGTGATTAATTATTTTCAGCGAAGCAATTGAAGGCAAATGTTATGATACAAATGAAATGCATGTTTCTAATAGTGGGGATTTTGTACTTTTTTTGTGGAAAGCATGATGCTTATATTTCTCAAAATTATGCCTGAGGGTTTGGTATAGTGTTAAGAGTGCAACATATGATGTGTGGGTTAGACACACGCTCGGATTTGAACTTTGTTGCAGATAAAAGCTTGGTACTTAAGTGGAGAATGATAGAGGGCTGGCATGTATCCACAGAGTTTTGAACATGTGCCATTGGCCTCAGGGATTTCTCAGTTATAAAAAAACATATATTTCTTATATTTGTGTTTGGGACTATAAATAACATTAGCAGAACTTTTGTTGCATTCATGGTCCCCTGTCTTTCAGAACCTATAACAGTCTTGCGGTGTAAAACCTCTGACTTTGTTACTGTGCTAGGTTCTTGCTTGAAGTCATTGGACCAAAATGTTAGTGCTACCAAGTTGTCCTTCAGTCCAAGTCACGGAGGAAAATCATATTCTTCTAAAAGACCATTGACCATTCAAGCGTCATACAGGTATTACCTTCTTGTATTCAATATGCAGCTTATGCATGAACTCTCTGCTTTGAGTTGGTTTCTGCCAAACGAAACAGCAGAACCAAAATTCTCATATATAGGGGCAGGAACAACTTGGCTCTTGCCCCTGAGAAGAACCAAGGAAATTTGTTTCTTCCATATGTTTGTTATCCACCTTAACCTAATCAAGAAAATATTGTATCGAATATTTCTCCTTCTGAATTAGCGGTGATGGTGGAAGGTCAAGCGGAAGCGGTGCTGGCATCTTTGTTGGTGGCTTTGTTTTGGGAGGAATAATTGTTGGCACACTTGGCTGTGTGTTTGCACCTCAGGTAAATATGGGATGGCATTGGTTGCTGCCTTTATTCTGCTTAACATACTAGTGAAAGTCACATCTTGATCTAATTGGTCATTCTATATATTTTCTTCTCTTTCTGAGTGCTGCACTTCAGAGGAGGAGCTAGCTGATTGTCGTGTAATTCGTGTTAACAGATCAGCAAGGCATTGGCTGGAGCTGATAAGAAGGACCTGATGAGAAAATTGCCCAAGTTTATATATGATGAAGACAAAGCATTAGAGGTAAGCTAGTGTTGTGCACATTTTTGATTATATAAGGAAATATCTTTGTGCTGGGAACCATCTCTTCTGATTAAAATATAGTTTCCTTGTGATTTTAGTCTCACTAATTGATGTGATTCTGTTTTCCCGAGTCTGTGTACCTTAATCTTCACTTACACTTAAGCTGAAAAAGGTAATAACTTTAGTAAGTTGTTATGAACTTGTGCAACGGATTACGTTTTTGAGATATGAATTCTGAAGAATACAGCTAAGCGGCAAGATCAGAAGCTGCCAATTGTGTGTCGCTCCAGTTCTAAAAGTTTAGCTTCACTATTAGTGCTACATGAATATTGATGCTTGACAATCCTAGTAGAAAGCTTTCTAGTAACTGTATTGGAGAGGCTACTCTTGATCCCCTAGTGAAAAGGTGTTGGATCATCTTTATACAAGTGTAATAGCAGCGTCACACATATTTACTTTTACAGAGGATAAATCAACTGTTCGGGGTTATAATCTTATATTCCCACTTCCTCTGACTCATGCATACTGTTCTGTCTGCAGAAACAACGCAAGAAGCTTGCTGAAAAGATTGACCAGCTGAACTCGGCGATTGATGACATTTCTACTCAGTTGAGGTCAGATGACACACCAAATGGAGCTGCTGTGAACTCGGATGATGTTGAAGCTGTTGTATAAGAAACATTTCTATCTTCTTAATATCAAGTCAGCTGAGGACATTGAATATATGGGAATATTCTTAGTTCAGTTTTGATGTTTTTGGTAATTGCTACAATATGATATCCCAAAATGAGGAAACATTATGTGATTTTATATGCTGCTTCTGTTTTCTATTGACATGATTTCTTTTAAACTCATCTTTGTCCTACAATTTTCTTAGTGTTCTTTTTCGAGTAGTAATATATTTTATAACTTGCTATCAAGACCAGCACGAGAAGCCTGTTAGTTCATAAATATGAACATCTGAATCTTTAATATTGGAGTATATTACGCATGGTTCCACAACAATATACCCATCGTAATTCCATAACCGAGGTCTGGAGAAGGTACTATGTACCTTACCCCTACCTCTGTAGGATAGAGGGGTTGTTACCGATAGATTCTTGGCTCAAAAGAAAAGTTTACCTTCAGGAAGAGCATCAATACATTTTCATCTTTTCTAATGAATAGACACTAATATTTATCTTGTATAGTTGTTCCAGCAAATCCTGGCCAAACATTTAAAAGTAATGAAAATGAGTGCAATATACTAGCATGATTTTCCCCACTGTAAAACTCTATTTTTGCAGGTTAAATTACCTCGATGGTGAAATAATCCGTTTACAATTATAAGTATATATAACTTAAATCCAAACGAAAACAAATTACGGTCAGGTCAGTACAAAGAATCTCAAGGGCATGAACGGAATAAAAAGAAATGTGACAACAATCTGTGGTTGAGATTATGAAAATGGAAGATTACATGGGGACAGGGGGACATGATCTTATCTTATATCAATCTTCATACACCATCTTCACCACTCATTTCTTTTACCATCAATATCAACCATGACTTTATTTTAGTTCATTTACATCAAATAAAAAAATATTAATAATATGGTGGGAACAAACCATATTTTAAACCATATATACCAAAAAGGAAGTAGCTTTCCTCAAGATCATTTAGTTGCAGCCATGGCTTCTCATGCAGCTTTGGCTTCTTCAAGAATTCCTACAAGCACAAGGCTTCCTTCCAATAAGAACTCCTACTCATTCCCCACACAATGTTTATCCAAGGTTTCTTTCCTTTCCTTCCCAGTGTATGTTTGATAGTACTAAGATGCTATGTTGTTCGGACTTTCCAAAAATACTGCCTCACTCGTGTCAGATCCTCCAAAAATGCACTACTTTTGAAAGATCACAGACAATCGTTGACATTTTTGAAGAGTCCGATCAACATAGCTAATATGTTTAAGAAATTATGGTCTTTCTGAATTCTCATGCTTTGTTTGTGCAGAAATTTGAAGTAGCTGAATTTTCTGGTCTTAGATCAAGTGGATGTGTGACATTTTCCAACAGAGAGTCTTCTTTCTTTGATGTTGTCTCTGCTCAACTCACTCCAAAGGTAGCTCTTTGATTTCCCTACTTTCAGCTTTTCTTATAAAGAATACTAAGCTCCCATTTGGCTATAGATATTGAAGTTGAAACTTGAAAATCTATGTACATAGTACCTACTATGTACCTTACTCCCAAAATCTAGCTAAGAGAAGACAAGCTATAGCTTCTCTGTAGGAGGATTACACCATCAATACATTTTAACATGTCATAGCCGGTTACTAATCACAGTGATATCAACGATAGTTGTAGTTATCTTTTAGGTGATCTTAATTATAGCATAATACTGTCACTGTAGGAAGTTAAAACTCTTTATAGGGTAGTCGGCTTGTGGAACTGATCTGTTTTTATGGTATGGAAAACTAGACCACAGGATCAGCCCCGGTTAAGGGAGAAACTGTTGCTAAATTGAAGGTTGCTATCAACGGTTTTGGTAGAATTGGTAGGAATTTCCTCCGATGCTGGCATGGTCGCAAAGACTCACCACTTGATGTTGTGGTTGTCAATGACAGTGGCGGTGTCAAGAACGTGAGTCCAAATTCTTTGTTTTCGTTGTTGCAACGATTAATTCAATTTAACATCATTACTAACAGTTGAGTTTTGCTGCAAAATGGATTATGCAGGCATCTCACTTGCTAAAGTATGATTCAATGCTGGGAACATTCAAAGCTGATGTCAAAATAGTGGATAATGAAACCATTAGTGTTGATGGAAAGCACATCAAGGTTGTTTCTAGCAGGGATCCCCTCAAGCTTCCTTGGGCTGAACTTGGCATTGACATTGTTATTGAGGTAAACTTCTTGTCTGCTGTCTGTTGAATACGTAATTAAGAAAATAAAAGTGTGTTCTCTTTTAACGCTTTAAGTTTTTAGATGAGTTGGTCATGCATTGTTACTGGTGTGATAACTGATATCCATGTTCATTGAAGAAGTAAATTTATCCTGTTTAGGTTCAAATACTGGTTCTCATTGCAAATTTTAGAAATTGTATGCATAACCATGATTAAATGATTTACGCGATAAGATTGAATCAATGAGGATTAGGGTAGTCAAGTTACAGTCATTTGTTCAACTATCCTCTGTGATCATTGGGGTTCAAACATCTTACAACTCAATGATGTTCCGAGCTGATTATATTATTTGAATCACAGGGAACCGGTGTGTTTGTTGATGGTCCAGGTGCTGGGAAGCATATCCAAGCTGGTGCCAAGAAAGTTATCATCACTGCACCAGCAAAAGGTGCTGACATTCCAACCTATGTTGTTGGAGTGAACGAGCAAGACTACTCTCATGAGATTGCCAACATCATAAGGTCAGTGTTTCCGTCAATTATATCTGCATTGTTTGAAAGTTGGTCATCCTCAACTATATAAGACCTGCACAGTTCATATTGTTCAAAATTTATAAGTTCTTTGCTTCAATTGCAGCAATGCCTCTTGCACCACTAACTGCTTGGCTCCATTTGTGAAAGTCATGGATGAAGAACTTGGTAAGCAGCAAACTGTATTAAAATAGCACTACATTGGCAAAAATTTGGTTATTGTGTTAACTATTTCCATTCACATTGCAGGAATTGTGAAGGGTACAATGACAACAACTCACTCTTACACCGGAGATCAGGTAATAAATCAACGAAACACTTTCACATATATGGTGTCTTCATGTCAATATGTTGATGGTATAAATATGCAACTCCGCGCTAATATTGTTGATTCTGTGGTATTCAGAGGCTTCTTGATGCTTCACACCGTGACTTAAGGAGAGCGAGAGCAGCAGCATTAAACATTGTCCCAACCAGCACTGGTGCAGCCAAGGCTGTGTCTTTAGTGCTACCTCAGCTTAAGGGAAAGCTGAATGGCATTGCTCTCCGAGTGCCAACACCTAATGTCTCAGTTGTTGACCTCGTTGTCAACGTTGAGAAGAAAGGAATTACAGCTGAGGATGTGAATGCAGCTTTCAGAAAGGCTGCTGATGGTCCACTGAAAGGCATATTAGATGTGTGTGATGCCCCTCTTGTTTCAGTTGACTTCCGATGCTCTGACGTTTCAGCCACCATCGACTCCTCCTTGACCATGGTCATGGGAGATGATATGGTCAAGGTTATTGCTTGGTATGACAACGAGTGGGGATACAGGTAAAGTTCAGTAACCATACGTGAAATTAACCAAAAACTTTCATGATGCTCATATTTTTTTGTTTTGTGAATTGCAGCCAAAGAGTTGTGGACTTGGCTCATCTAGTAGCAAGCAAATGGCCAGGTGTTGCAGCACCAGGAAGTGGAGACCCATTGGATGAGTTCTGTGAGACAAATCCTTCTGATGAGGAGTGCAAAGTCTATGAATAAGACATTTTTGTTATATTAATTCCTCTTTTGAGATGGATGATTTAGAACAACAGTAGTTTTGTTATCTGCATATTTAATGTGTAAAACTGAGTGGGAAGTCCCATTAGCTTAAGACAATAATATCACAGTGGTATGAATTCTTTCTATATCGATTTAATCGAGACTGAAAATAAATGTGATGCAATTTGACGAGATATTTTCTGTCTACTTCTCAATTTTGTCTTAGTTTTCTATGTTTCTTTAAAAATGAACAATTTAAGCTAGTTTTCGTTGGAGCAATAACCATTCAAATTCACATTAGTGATGATTGTTGTAGTCTAATGATAGCAATACGTAAATCTCATATGATGAAGAAAAATGTAAAGTCAACGAAAGTTCGTTGATATTGTCTAAAATAAAAGAGTTATCAACAACTCGCTCTGTGATATGTAGATTTTACTAATTGAAGACGATTGCCCTTTCTTTCTCGAAAATAATGGAAAAAATATTTGTACAAGCAACAAATATTCAACATTGAGTTAATTGTATCAAAGTTGACTAATTCACATAAAATTAATTATAGATTTTATCTCTTTAAAATTATTTCACTATCTATTGCTTCATTTATTTATATTTTGAAATTTGGTTGTCATTTTTTTTTGCAATCCTACTTCAAAATATAAATAACTTCTCTTTTGAGCATGAAATCTATCGGAAACAATATTTCTATCTCAAAAAATTAGGAATAAAACTTATATACATCTAAACTTCTCTAGACTTCATCTTAAACAACTAAATCTAATTCTCATAAAATTAAGTTCAATATTTTATTTATAAGTTTATTATAGATATTTATAGATTATAGATAGATTATAAATGTCCAAGTCGACTATTTTACATAAAATTAATTTTTTTGCACTATCACAATTACTTCCCTGATAAGTCTATTATAGATTATAGATTATAAATGTCTCTTCATAAGCTTTAATGGTTAGTATAATATAAATAGTAATTAACCTACTATCATATTTTAAAATCAATTGATAAAATAAAAAGACTTACATCAACAATATATATAACTCATTATATCCATTTGGATTTCTTATTCGTTAAATGTGTTTTACTATATATTGATTTATTTATTTTGAATTTTGATATTTTGTTATTATTTGTTCTTTCATACATTTTAATTTTATTATACGTCACTTGTGAAATTACACTAATACTCTTTATGTTCTTAATTACTTGTCCACTTTTGAATTGACACTTCCATTAGGAAAACAATGATTGACATAGCAATTTTATCATTTTATTCCTATTAATTATGAAGTGAATCAATTAAAAACTTAAATTTGTTAAGAAGTTCTACATTGTTCAAAGTAATTAATTGATGATATAAAAGATAAAATAAATTGTTATTTGTCAAAATTAACAAGTAATTTGGGATAGAAAGAGTACATAATTGTATATCCATTTTAAATTTTTTACTTATTTTAGTAATTCATTTAATCACAGATTAACTTTTTTTCCAATCAAAAGGTCAATAAGCTGATTTTTGAGCTGAACCAGTTGACAGGACATCATAGTAGCGCCGAAATTAACGGTTTACGGATCCGACCTCGATTTCTGCAAACTGATGATCTTGTTTATGATTTTCCACTGCAAACGAAAACCCTAGAAAAAGATCCAATTTTTGCTACAAAATTGGAACGAAAACCCTAGAAAGGAGATCAAAAGATGTCATTTTTACCTCAATAAATTCAATTTGTCTTCAAAATCAACATCTTGTGTTCATAATTTGCTTCGATTGAGAAGTATTGCATGGAATTTTTTGTAAATTTCTGATCCCTAAATCTTGGAAATGAAAGGTTTGTTCCTTATCATATTCTTTTTAGCAATTGTGTTTATAGTTGTTGTATATGGAGCTCCATCAAATTCTGATGGATCCGATCCGGAAGCTGAAATCATCCCTAGCTCAGAAGTTCCTGCTTCCAGTCCTCTATTGCCTCTCAAACCGTAAGTCTTCCCCTTTTTCCATGATTTTTTAAGTTCTGCAGTTAGAAGTTAAAAGTAGTCGAGATGAATCCTATGAAGAAATGTGTCCTAGCCTTGGTGGCTAGGATAGATAGGAAATGATGTAGAGGATCCAACTATCCAACGCCGAACTAGTTGAGGCGTAGCTGATTGATTTATATACTGATATTTTGGCTGATAAGAGTGTTTATGTGTGTTGGCACCCAAGAGTGTGGACTAGTGATCAATGAAGTGGGAGGAAACCATGAGATCAAGTTTAAATCCCAGTGGAGGCAAGTGAGTTCCTCCCATCTGCCTAAGTCTTGGTGGGCAGAGTTATCCAGGTTTTGTGTTGGTGGGAAGGAGGTAGGCCACGGACAATCCTCCAAAAAGAGGGGATAGTCCTTACAGGTGTTTTCTATGAATTTTCTTAAGTATGCTGTTAATTGATTTTTCTTTGCGGCGTCTAGTTATTGGTTTTCAAGTTGTAGTATCTTAAAGCATGGGGTTTTGTGATTGTTTTTGGTTGATATATATATTCCATGTTTAACATGAAGCAAAGAATTAAACCTTGAGAAATTGCCACTAAATATTCATCTTGAGAGAGGTGAGGCCAAAACATTTGGATGATTCAAAACAAATACATTTCCCCAGACTCCGCTTTTGGGACTGTACTGGTTTGTTGTTGTTGTTGTTTGTACAACAACTACATTTCCCAACCCGTTGTTACTAGTTTGGAGGTCATACACTTGGGAGTCTGCATAACTTAATTTTTTTTCTAAAGCAATCCAAATTTGATATAAATTGGAGAACAATTTACTGGGTATTGAGACGAGTGTCAAATGGGCACAACGGGTTAGATTGAGTATGAGTCGGTATATTGAGTAACAGTATGAGTCATGAAACCGTCCACCATATTTCATTTCTGTCAGTGTGGGTTGGGTGGAAAATGTGTTGAATGGTGGTCATAGCCTAACCCATCAAACTCTGATGGATTTTTTTCCATCAGATATGCCAGCAAATTGTTTATAATGCACTCAAGCAATATCGACCCAATCGTTTAGGTTGATTATTCTTAGCACATCTTATCATTTCAATTGACCTAGTACACACCCAACTAATTGAAGTTGGAGGTTAAATGAGTCACACATTAATTTTTATTTTTTTTGATAAGTCAGAATTTTAGTAAAAGAGTACCAAGATGGTACAGAAAAAGGTTCAGGATTTAGCAGCAAACTCTTTAATACAGAAAGTCCAAATACTTATCCATTACTCTAGAGATCTTGGTGCTCTCTCTGTAATGAGACTGAGGAAACCAACAACCATTTGTTCCTCCATTGCAAAGTGACAACACAATTGTGGAACCTTTTTTTGGGACTAACACATACAGAATGGATTATACCTGAGCATACAACAGATCTACTTAGTTGCTGGATCAGCAGAGGGGGGAGAAAATCTAAGAAAAAGTGGTGGAGTATAATACCATCATGCATTTGGTGGTGTATTTGGAAAGAAAGAAATAGCAGATGCTATGATAACAAAGCTAATTCAATAGAGAAAGTCAAATGGAACTGCTTGACTACTTTTTATTTTTGGTGTAAAGAGGAAGGGATAGAAGAAGCTGCACAAATTTTGGATTTTATAGGCACTTTGTAATCTATTAGCCTTTTTGTTTTTTCTCTTGTTGGAAACCTATTTTTGGAGGTCTCCAGCATATCCTTAATGCTTATCCTTAATGCTGATGAATACAACATTATCTTTATCAAAAAAAAGAGATCTGCAACTTCTTCCCATCAAAGCATGCCTTGTTTCTTTCCATCCATAAGGTCCACATTATGCAACTGGGAATAGTTCTCCCCTTATTGGCTTTGAGCTCTTCTTAACCTCCTATGATTGCCACATTTCCAACAAGCTACTAATTTTCTATGTGAACACCAAAGATATGTTCATTATGCTAAAGAAAAGTTCCCAATATTGTCTTTAAATTGGAGATAAACACAGTATAGAAGAGAAGCTAAGAGCTTATGAAAATTATAAGCCAGTGGGGCAGAGCTCTGGGAGTAGGATAGGGAAATAACCACGTACTCGATACAATGGGAAAATTAAACAAGAAATAAAGTGTGACAGGCTTCACATTTGTGTTGAACAAATTAGGCTTTGCTGTTTCTATTTTTTATTAGAATAGATGATGTAGATGATGATGGCATATTGATACACAACAAAATTGTGGAACACTGGCATGGTAGTGAAATTCTTAGTTTTCTAGGCCAGTCAATACAGAATTATGGTTTTTGTTTCTCGTTTTAGGAACTTTAGAATCATTATTTTACATTTTCTTTGATAAGATAATATGCGTAGGGTTGAGGACTTGTTCACCTTTATTTCATTTGCTTAATTTTTCTCAACATCTTTCACTTGCTTTCTTCTTAGTATAATTTCTCTGCTCGAGTGCCCCTAAGCTAATTCAAGTGCAATTTTTTGTTGTCTTGTTTTGAAATTTAGTAAGCGTGACACGGCAATTGTAGCTGCTCCAGATGGCACAGTACATCTATTGGATCTAAAATCAGGAGAAGATATCTGGGCATTTAGGTCAGGGGCATCCATCTATTCTTCATATCAGTCTCTCTCTGATTATCAAGGTGATCGTAACAATGCTACCATTGAGGATGATAACTTCTATATAGATTGTGGAGAAGATTGGAAATTATACGTGCATGGGAATGGCCTCGAAAAAGTGGTACGCGACTGAACTTGTCCTCTACCATGCTCAGTCAGAAACTTTATGGAGTTTTGTGTTGAGGGAATGTATTTCTGAAGAGTTTTTATTCCTGTATGGCACCAGGTGTGCGATGCTTTTGAATCTTTTCACCAGAGGCTTTTTGCTTTTGTCCATCTATTAGTGTAAATATCATGATGAGAGTGATTCTTGTGAACTTGATATTATTACTTCGAGAGTGCTGCGTGCTCACATGAAATGGTTTGACATAACAAAGTGTTAAAGGTATTTTAAACCCTAAAATACTGCATTCCTTAATCTGCTATTCTTTTTCATTATCTTAGGAGCTGCCATTCAGTGTGGAAGAATTTCTAAAACAAACTCCATATGTCTCAGCTGGTGGAATCATGTTGGGATCAAAGAAGACCACTGTATTCATTGTTGATGCTAAAACCGGGAAACTTATCCAGACATATAGGTCAGATGTG